GTACCCCAGGAAGCCCAACACCCGCCTCTCCAGGGCAGTGACCTAGGAGCAGGGCGCCTGCCGGTACCCCAGGAAGCCCAACACCCGCCTCTCCAGGGCAGTGACCTAGGAGCAGGGTGGCGCCGTGAAGGGTGGACCTGAGGGAGGCCCAGCCCGCCAGCCAGGCACGCAGCTGGCACTTCCTCCCCACGCCCGCCCACCACACGTTTGTTTGACGAGGAACACCAGGCCCTAAGTCCCGCTCCACCACCACCAGGCAGGCGCTGAGCACCGACTGTGCGATTGGCTCTTCCAGAAAAAACTCCGGCGACCCTGACCAGCCCTTCCCGTCCCTGAGAGAGCGTTCCTCCCTGGATTAGGTGCCATCCCCTCTGTCCCAGGTTTCCTCATCTGGAGAATGGGAACTTGGGCTCTGTTCTAAATCACGAATTGTAGGACCAGGAGACAGACACACAGACAGCCCAGAAAACACCACTCGGGGTCAGATGGTGGGAGGGAAGGACACAGGTTCACAAGGGTGCCAGACGCCGAGGCCCAGCACGTGAGTGACGGGCGCACAGAAAACGTGTCCCTATGGGGCAAGCACACGATGCTTCTAGGACCCACTCGTGCCTCCTGCTCAGCCGACAAGACTCAGGATCTTCCTGACTTCACAACAGATAAGGCCCCACAGCCCCAGGGCCAAGCCAAGGCTCCCAGCCAGCCAGGGTTTCCGGGCCGCCCCAGCCTGGCGGAAACCACTCTCCTGCGCTGCCGTGGCTCCCTGCACCTGGGAAGCGAGCTTGGGCCATCTGTCCAGCATCCCGCCAGCCCCTGGAGAGGCTGGGCCCTGGCCTGGACGGGGCAGGCCTTCCCATCACACCGAGGGTCTCTACCCGCCTCCCCAGGTGACAGCTGATCCCCAACCAAAGGGGCATTTGCTGTCAGGGCTGGTCAGGGACTCCCTGCGGCCAAAGACCTTTCACAGGCCAGCAGGGGGTCCCTCCCTGACCCCACTCTCCCACTGCTAGACGTCAGCGAAGAGGCAGGGTGCGGGGGACGCGCCTGTCCTCCCCGTCCCTCCGACTGAGTCCCAGGCAGGGACCAAGCTCCATTGTTTCTGGCCACTGGGTGGGGAGAGTCAGAGACTCAATCACTGACTCAGCCGTCGGGGGGCAGGAGGGGCCACAGACCAGGCCAGAGCTGGCCCCGAGGCAGGACACCGCTGTCTAGGAGGCAGCCGAGGCAGCTCAGGCGCCTGGAACCCACACTGCACACGAGCGCCGGGCTCTACTCACCCCGCGCCTCGGGCTCCTGATCTGTGAGCCGCCGGCGCCTCCACAGCTGGATACCGTACAGCCGGCAGAACCAAGTGCCAGCCGCCGCCAGCTGCCCTGGCCGTAGCAACACACGTGTGCAGAGTCCCAGGTGCAGACCTCCTCGGGGCTAGCCTCACCCACACCCATGGGTGCCTGTCCACACACCCTCTGTGCTCTCAGTCCTGGGAACCTGCCCGGCCTCCTCCACAGGAAGGGGAGGCTGCCACAGACGCACCCAAGGCAGTGTGATCTGCCAGGGCAGGGAAGACTGGAAATGCCCAGTTCTGACAGGCCAGGTACTGTCACATGAGGACAGTGACTCCAGGTGACCAGAGGGCCTGCCTGGGACGCGGATGGCTCGGGGGACACATGTGTCCCATGTCTGCACACAAAGACACAGCGTGGCATGTGCACACGTGGGGGTGTGCATGGGGGTGTGGACAGAGGGAGGCGGGGGCAGGGACAGGTAGGGCGGGGGCAGAAAGGCAGAGGCCGCATCAGCTCTGAGGGCCTTGGAGCTTCCCGCCGGCCCCCACTCAGAGTCCTGCGGTCGCTCAGGGGTGCCCCATGACCCTCGAAGGGAAATTGTTCTTTCTGTGATCTCCGGAATTCTCCAAGACCAGACCCCCCTCAAGCTAGGGCCCCTGCCTGGGCCAGCTCTGGGCCTGGAACGCAGGGTCGCCGAAGCCTGGAGCTTGATGGGGTTGCTCAGCAGTGCCGGGACTGCCAGCCTCACTGCCTGAGGAATAGACTGGGCAAGGGAGCTGCTGCCCACACTCGCCAGCCGGGCAGATCCAGCCCCTGCACTGTTCTCCTGCCACACTAGGATCACCCTGAGACCCCAGGCTGGCCCCTCCGGAAAGTGGCCCAGGCCCCGCTCCCATGGAGCTTCCAGATGGGCCTCTTGGGCACGGCGTGTTCTCCAGGGACAAGGCTTGGCACCCAAAGCCCCTGGCCTCCCCAGTGTGGCCTCGTCCCCACCCAGCCTCCATCCTCAGTTCACAGACAGCGAGCTCTTCGGGCTGGGCTGGTCAGGGGCGGGGACCACGGCCTCACGGCTCACCCACGCCCTCCTGTCCATCCCAGGCCATCTTGGGCACGGCCAATCCCACCCAGCCGAGGGTACTGCGGCTCCTACCCCAGCCCTCGCTGCCTGCAAACGCTCCCACTGAAGAGGACAGGCCAGGCACAGCGCTTGGAGGCTAGAATGGACTCACAGAATCACTGAAACCCACTGAGACAGCCTCCTCCAGTGAGACCCCCCACCCCGCCCTGCTGTCCAGTGCCCACACGGTGCCTAGTGCCATGAGGGACCTCCTCACTGCTTCGACTCCGGGGACGGGCGGCCCCCCAGCAGCCCTGTTTGAGGGTGGACCCAACACTAGGCCTCAGATGGCCTCAGATGGCCTGACCACCACCCGCTTGGAGAGACACTCTCCCCGACCCTGTTCGCCTGCCCGGGACTCCAGGGTGCTGCGGGTGTCTGGGTCGGGACCAAGCCCACAGCACTGTGCCCTGAGCTTCCACGCAAGGCCAGTTGAGAGGGACAGAGATGCTGCCCAGGGCACCCACGGTGGCAGGAGGCTCAGGGTCCTTCCCCTGCGTGGTGTCTTCAGGCCTCCGTGGAGGAGCGTCACAGATAACTCCACACAGGAGTCACAGCTTAGAGACCCACAGGTCTCAACAGTCGCATTATCAATGAAGACCGTAAACAGCGTGTCAGGCAAACTGAACAGGCCTAAAACGACACTGAGACTCGTGTCTCCGAGGCCTCGCTGAGCGGGTGAACTGCCAAAGGCACCCCGGCCGCCCGGCCGACCCCCACAGCAGACGGAGACCACAGCAGAGGCCTAGAGGGCCGGGAGCCCCTCCGCTCCAGCCTGCTCTCCGCCAAGGCCACCTGTTCCCCTGCAGAATGGGTGCCAGCAGCCCCCTCACCCGTCTCTCCCGACATCCCCTTGAGATGCAGCCCAAGTCCCTCACTCAGGTCGTGCAGCCCCATCCTTCTGACCCAACTCCTGGGACAGCTGAGCTCCCACCTCACTCAGAACTCAGGGTCTGTGCCTGTGCCACACCCACCTGTGGCTGGCAGCTCATCCCCGGTCCCACTCCCTGTAGCACTGCCCCTGCCCACCCCTACCTGCACCTGCCCGCCCCTGCCTACCCCTACCTGGCGCAATCACATGGTGACCTGCATGCTGCTTTGCTCACATCAACCATTGAGGGGGCTGACGGAGGGTGGAATCCGCCTGTCTCTGCAGATGCCGCCAGCCTGGGCACTGCCTGGCATGGAGGGCATGCTTTTCCCGGGGGCAGAGCCCAGCTGTCCGTGTCCTGGTGGGACCCCACAGCCAGGGCAGGCCAGCTCTCAGTTGTGTACACATTGGGAAAAGATCCTGGCACCAGAGGGCAGAGGCCACAGAGAGCCCAACCCTGGGCAGTGTCCTGGGTGCGGGGGCTCAGCCTGAGCTCTCAGCGGCCCCCACGGACAGTCTCTACAGAGAGGCCGTGTATGGAGCCTTGGCGGTGGAGGGCTCAGGGACTGGACGGTCCCACACTCAAGGGCAGAGGAGGCTCTGGCCAGGTCCAGGGTGCAATTTCAACAGGCTGCAGGGGCACGGGTGTCACGGCAGGCAGGGGTGCCAGGTGGAGGGACAGTCTGCAGCAAAGATCTGGAGGCAGGTGGCAGTGGGGTGAAGGAAGGGGGAAGGCCCAAACTGAAGGGCCTGCACTGTGATGGGGGCTGCCTGGGGCAGGACCCGTGTGCAGCTGCACGCCCCTTCAGGCAGGGCTGGCTGACAGCATCTGCTCTAGACACTGAATTAAGATTCAAATCTTAGCACCAGGCCTCCCCATCCTGCCCAGAGGATGCTAACCCCCTACCAGTAGGGATGTCTGCCCTGCTGGATCCCTGGGGGGAAGGTAAGCGAGCCCCTCAAGGGGGGCAGTTCTTGCCCTGACCTGCTTTGCCTACCCCCAGCACAGTCATGTGTGTTCCGGGCTGGCGGCCGGGGAAGCCGCACGTCTCGGCTAAGGGGTCTCAGCCTGAGGAGCAGCCTCAGGTCTGGCTCTGGAGTGGACACCCTGCAGCACAGGGGTGGGGGCGTCTTTTTCATCTCGAAGCCAAGGCACCCAGAGGCCCAGTGCTCCATGATTTGTGGCCACATGCATGAGCAGTGAGTCTCACGCCACCATGGAAGCGGGTGACCCTGGTGGTCCTGCCAGGACCCGGCCCCAAACCCCTTCCTGGGCCTCTGGCTCCCGGGTCTCCTCTGTGTGGCGGGGCAGAGCCTGGGAACCGGATGCAGCACAGCCCTGCTCGGCGTTCTTTGGGGAGAAAGGCTCCTACAAGCGACGCCTGGGCCCGTTGTCCTGTAGCGCAGTAATACACAATTCTCACTCATCAAAAAACAAACAAAGGCCACCCAACCCCGCTTCCTCCCGGGTCCCCGCCCACATGCAGTGACTAGAGTGGTGGGGGGTGTCAAGGTCTCTTCCCCAAGGCAGAGGAGGCATGGTGGGCGGCCAGACTGCCAACCCGGCCAGGCCAAAAGGCCTTTGGCAGCTTCCTGCCGAGGTTCAGCAGGGACCCTGGGGCTGGCCCTGAGGGGACACGGCTCTGCCCAGTCCCTGGAGTGTCCCCAGGTCTGCTGGGGAAGCCCTGTGGCCGCAAGCCAGGATGACTTTTCCTCTTGGATGCAACCAGATTTCCAAGGGCCTGCGTGGGTGCCCGTCTGTCTACTGTCTACCGCAGAAGTGAACCAGGAACACGACCCCCACTCACCCCTCTGCCCCCGAAGTCACATCCCTCCAGCATGGTCACATGCCTCACCCTGCACCTGAGACTGGAACACCCATTTCTCCTGCCCAAGCCCCAGCTCTGTCCACCCCAGCACATCCTCACAGCAATCACCAGTGCCCCCAAAGCAGCCTCGCTTCCCGACACCCACGCACCACCAGCTGCCACTGGCCAGGCTCCAAACCCGGGTATCGGCCAAGCCTGTGCCTGTCCTTCATGAGGCCGTCCGACAGGCATTCCAGTCAACCACCCTTGCCCTCCCCATTCCTGCCTCCAGCCCGTCTGCCCCCAGTCTCCTAAAAGACCCCTGCCACTGGGGAGCTGCTCATGGAAAGACACCAACTGCAGCAAGGCCCGGATGGTCCCTGGGCCCCAGCCTGTGACAGAGCCTCAGGGCATCTCCCCAGCCCCAGCCAGGCTCCCAGGAAGCTCCAGCAGCTCCTTCCCACCGGGAGGAAGGTCACGGTGCCTCGGCCGCCCCCAGCTCGCCTGCGCCCCGAAGCCGAGGACAGGACGCCCACGCTGCCCAGCCACGGGCTCGGAGGGTGTTGCTCCTCAAAACTCCCTGCCCAGCCCTCCCAGCTTTAGGAAGAGGACTTTTCCTCTTGGGTGCAGCCGGGAGAACGCAGTCAGCTGCGCTCCGCGGTCCGCAGAGCACCGTTTCCTTTTTGAGACGGAGACCCAGGGCCCGTAGCGTGGAAGCAAAGCCGCCTCCCAGCCTTGGTCTGGCCCCTCCTCTGAGGGCAGCGGGCCCGGGGAAGAATCCACGTCCCAGGCGTCCCTGGAGCCTCCGACCCAGAGCAGAACGGAAATGCGGTGGAGGGCGCCCCTGCCAATCCCGGCACCGAAGACGCAGGCCGCGCCCTGGGCTCGGGCTCCAGCCCCGTCCCGCCTCCCACCGCTCAGAGCCAGGCTGAAGGCAGGCAGCAGCGGGGGCGGGGCTGGCTTGCACTCTGGTGGGCAGGATGCTCCCCCTTCACACTCACACACACATACACACTGTCTCACACACACTCCACTCACACACACACAAACACACACTCTGATATACCCACACATCACACACATTCACTCACACACACACATTCAAACACTCATACTGATACACTCTGACACACAAACTCACTCAAACTTTCACACTCACGCTAACACACTCATACACTCACACATACACTCACACTGACACACACATTAACTCAATCAAACATGACACTGACACATACACTCTGACACACATTCACACAAACACATACACATTCTCACAATCACACACACATGCACTCACACACACTCACACAGTCACACACTTAAACCCTCACACACACACTCATACACTCACAGCCACACA